TATTTTTTCTAGCTGTCACTGATATGTTTACAAATGTTGTTTACAAATACCACAACCATTTCTGATCACATTTTGAAGGCAAATCCTAACCAAGTAAGATTAAAAACGTTTTTCTTACATAACGGATTTAATTAATCGCAAGTGCAATAATGTGTAGGGTAACCGTAAATGAAAATAGAGATTCTTTGTGTATAAAATTATTCTTTAGTTTTGATAACCGGGAAAAAGACCTTGAATCAGTGTTGTATAATGGCTGGGAATCTTGCAGTTTTTACGTAAGCGTTACCAATAGCTTACATAAAAGGTTTCAACTCATTGGCAGCACTTCAATGGTGGTGTAATAATATAGTGGAATAATATAGTGTAACCGTAAATGATATTAAAACTAGGCGTCATCCAGGTCAGGAACCAGATATTCTTTGTGTATAAAATTGTTCTTGAGGTTAGATAACCAGAAAGAAGACCTTGAATCAGTGTTGTATAGGGCTGGAAAACTTAAATTTATTAATGATCTTCGCCAATAGCTTACAAACAAGGTTTCCACTCATTGACGGCGCTTCGATGGCGGTTGTGTAAAGTGTAAAGTAAACAACTGCAGTGGGTGATTAACAGAGGTTTACGGTTTATGGATGATGCTAAACTCGCTTCCAATGTGTCACTTTCTTTTCCTACTCACTGTGTGATGCAATCGCTGGACCATACAGCCAATAGGCCCATAGCCCATCTCTTGGGTACTTACGCCTACCCAATTATTCATAACAACCTTTTTGACGACGATCCTTCATACCGGTACTTTTCCCTAGAATACACGGCCTCCCTACTTAAGAAATAAAACTACAAACGTCCAAAAACTCAGCATTGTGTGATTTTTGTCACATTTCTTTCTAATGTTAATAGATAAACCAATCATTGTTTAGAGAATACGTAATCTATTAATTAACAAAAAGTTGTTTGTATAAGGTTGTTTTTTTTTTTACTGACACCAATAAGTTTAGGCCTAAATTAAAAGTTGTTTATGAATAAAGCAATTAATGGGAAATAACTTTGATTGCCGATAACTTTTTACGAGAAAATTCAATACCAAGAAATCACTAACCTTGGGACTTGATTAACGCATTTAATTGGTCGAATGTACTTTAGTTGCTAAATGTAAACGTTGGTTTTTGGTACTGGTTCTTTTCGTTATGGTTCTTTTCATTTGTAGCAGCAAGAATAATTTTTACGTACCAACACATCACTGTAATTTACAAATTAGTTATCGTTGGTATTGCACCTTATTTATACAGTCCTATTCAGTTTAATTGATGTCTTAACTGTATTGCTTTTTCTGTCTGGATTCCAAAATGTTAGTTTATGCTAAGAAAATGATAACTCATTTAAGTAAAACATTTGTTTAGCAAACCATCGTGAATTGTTTACGATTTACGTTGTTATGTTTTAATAGTTCATTGCCTATTTTGGTAATTTGTATCATAAATTACCAATCTAAATCGTCTATAGTACTTAACTAGTGGCTTTTAGGGGCAATAGCCCCTATATTCTAGCAATTATTTTGTACAAATTATTAGTCTCATGGGTTACCCTACCTTAAATTATCATTTAACATTTTTGTATATTATGATATGTTTAGTAGTTATTACATACCTGCATAACGCATTTTGATGTCTGCTCTGTTTAAAATAAAAATTCCAAAGGACATGCGGTGTGTTTTATAATATATACTTTCTAATCATAATACAACTAAGGAACATTTTCCATTAACAATCTTTATGACTATTAATTAAATCTATATACATTTCTTTAAATGGAGACAAATTCTCTTAGAAAAACACATAGAGATAATGTCGTCATCAAAATTCTAAAATGCTAATTCTTTAACAAAATCTCTCCAAAACAATATTTGTTGTATAGTATCCATTTTGGTCGATTCCTTGGTCTTTATTTTGTTCTAGTACTATTTTAACATCATCTGGCCTCTTTACCTATCTAAAAGCAACATAAAGTTGACCATGGGTAAACACTGGATTTTCAAATAAATGCCAACTTTTATGAAGGTTCGGCCTTGCGCCACAATTTCACCAAATCAAATTGCGCAATGGACAACAATGAATGCACCAACCGTTCATTGGTCCTACGCTGTGTAATGCAATTGTACACAATGTAATATAAATTGTTATGATAAAATTTGATGACATTGACAAAGATTTCAAATATTAATTTTATATGTACTTGTTATGCTTAAAACGTAACAAATTCCCTAATTAAGTTCTGTATTTTTGTGTGTATGTCTGTTTGTAACGCATTAATGTCATTATTTCTTAGTGTCACGAAAAGGAAAATTTGAGCACCTTTGATAATTGGAGGTTGGCAGCCCTGCCGAGTGACGACTAATTGCTGCATGTACCAGTCCACATTAATTTAATTAATTTAACAGTTTTAACAAATTTTTTGAACACAAATATAAGATTAAACAGTTTTTAATGTAATTCTGAGTGTCTGGAAGGTATAAGTTTTATATCGGAAAGTCTCAATTAATGAAGAACGAAGAACTTCTCAACGACGCTGCCAGTGCAAAGGAAGAAGCCACCGGCCAGCCATTTTGATCAGGTCTACTACGCAGGAATCTCGTCCCAACCAATAGATTTCTTATTTGGTAATGATTGTATGATCTTTAAAATTTCATTGACATGTACTTCCCTGAACTCAAAAAACAAACTTTTTGAGTTTATCCTTGTTTTACAACAGTCAACAGCTTATTCTGGTGAACTTTGAATATTCAGTTTCTTTCTTATGTCGAGATAATGATCATTGAAATAATCCGGAATAACTTTGGGGTCTTTAACTATACGGATCCCTTAATTAGTACTTCTGTAAAATCGTTAAAATCATTCTTTTTCTTTGAATTCATTCCTAGCTCATTTTTAATTACTTTCCAAGATGCTTGACTTTTGCACTTTGCTTGTTTGATATATTGATCATTTGCCCTTCGCTTTGCTGCTCTATAACTACTTTTTCAAACAACTGTCTGTATGTTCTGTAATAACGTTGTGCTTCAGCACTTCCATTCTCCTTTGCCTCTCTGTGAAGCCGCCTGTTTCTACTTGAAACTTTGATCCCCTCTGTCACCCATTGTATTTATTTTTTATTTTTTACTCTCTGAGGTCTAGGTTGAAATACCATAGGTGGAAATACTTCATTCATGGTCAAGATAAAGTTGTTTAAACATTTTTATAATTGTCATTTACACTTTTCCCAACCTCTACCTTCCATTTCAAGTTTTTAATTTTATTCTAAAACTCAACTATATCATTTGGAGTAAAATATCGTTTAAGGACATGTTCTTTAATTTTTTTCTTTTCTTTAAATCTGGGTAATGTAGCCCAAATGGCACTATGATCAGAAAGACCTATATCTTTAACAAGGATGTTTTCTATCTGATGTTTCTCATTAGAAATAATATTATCAATGCAAGTTCCACTGCTAGGCCTGGTCACCTCCATAACATTGCATTTAAATCCATTAAAATATAGAACATTCAAAAATCCATCTGAAGCCTTTATAATCTTTCAATCTAAGACATTAATACTAGGTGGCGTTCGCAGAGGCATCTGCAAAATTGAGCGGAGTCATCAAGGTTCATATTATATTGTTTTTGTCATACTGCAGTAAAAACAGTAGTTTTTTATGCATGCGTTGCGGGTCTAAAGTAGCATTTTTATTCTCTAGGGAGTAAAAATCGTTTTTAGCCTCTATGGAGTAAAAATCAGTTGTTGTCAACTCAGTTGTACAGTTTGATTGTGAACGATTGCATGTATCTAAAATATGTATCGATTCGTGCTTCGTAATCATTTTAATCTACACAGTCTACAGTCTCTTCCCATAGCATTTTAGTATTGCAGATACTAATAAATTCCCACACTCAACATTGCTCACCTTTACAGGACCATACTTTACCTTTTACCTTTGCCTTTACTTCCTTCACCACCCCCTACGTCGTGGACCTGTTTCCCTCTCTTCCCATTGCATTTTAGGATTGCAGATACATTAATGTAATGGCCAAAGACAGTTCCCACAGTCTGCACTGCCAGCCTTTACTACTTCCTTCACCACGTCCTCCGTCGTGAGGCCTATTTCCTTGCCTTCTCATAGCACGACGAACGTGACGAGGAACGTATCTAAATGTCGACCCGTCTACATCTGACTACCTTCCGACCAACCTCCAAGACTCCGGAGACGACTCCGGCGTAGACTGCCTCAGCAGAACTAAGTAAATCCAGCCACGGCGTCATTAAAGGTATCAGGCGAAAGAATTATTTCAGTCGGTACTTTGCTCTGCCCTGATTCACTTCTCACTATCTTCCAGGCCGCTTTGCATTTATTTGTTGATTTATTATCAGTTTGTTGTTTGCAGAAATTCTTGCCTCATTCATAGCTTTTGTGTTAGCTTGTGTGTTAGCTTGTGTGTTGTTTCTTGGCATTTTTAAAGTTCATTTTATCATTAACATTATAATTAGTCTTCAATATGTCATAAAGGTAAATGATATATTCTCTAATGTTTGCAAGTTCAGGTGTAAACCAGTTTACTCTTTCGGCGTGGGAAGAGTTAGGGTAATAGGGACTGGTGTAGATGTGTTGGATGCCTAAACCCATGCAAAGGTTTTTGACTGTTACTGACTTGAAGGCGGAGATGTTGCCGGAAACTAGAAATTTTGGAGGGCCAAAGGTTGAGAAAACTTGTTTGGTTAGAACTGAAACGGTGGTTTCTGCCTTGGTATTCATGACAGGGATCACGAGGCAGAACTTGGAAAATGAATAATGGTTGTCCGAGGTGCCAGTTCCAAGCCGGGGTCAGAACCTTCAACCTTTTGGAAGCAAATCGTCCAAAAGATTCCCCACACAAAAAAAAAATAAAACAAAACATAATATGTTTTGTTTTATTTTTTTTTTATGTACATTTAAATACATATTATGTATTTTAGGTGAAAAAATGCATACAGTGCGGGAAGGTTATAAAGGACCGGATGAAGAGGCACATCGACGAGAGTCCAGCATGTAACGCTTGTTACGTATATCTCAACAATCATAAAGTAAGTAACATAGAAAAAGTTTATTTAGTCATGTAAGGCCGGTGATCGTGAGACTTGTGGAAGGGGCGTAATCAAATAAAGCCACCATCAAATGGTTTAAAGTAAACCTGTACAAAATTAAGACGCGACTGTCAGATGTCTCAGATTTAGATCCTGCCAATTGCCAGTGGCTTTTACCCGACTGGCTTTGAAAAAGGATTAGTCTCAAACAATTGTAATTCATGTAACCCTTGCAAGGTAAAGAGTCCCCTTGTCAAAGGAAAACTTCTCAATTTTCAACTTCTCTTACAAGTTCAAAGTGTTGAATATTTTTAAGCTCAGGTGAACACTAGGAAAACATTCCAGTCCAGTACAAAAACTTTCAAAACTAAACAAGTGTTAAACAAAACTCAAATAAACTGTAAAATACCTATTAACCTAACCTAACCTCACTGCTGTTCCTTCTTACACATTGTCAATATCACGATCACCAGCGGCTGACAAGCAGCCTAGTGTGACCCGTGCAAAAGCCGCTGCTGGTTGGCGCTGGTGTCAGCCGTTGTCTACAGAATACATACCCCCATATGTCTAAAAGTTGGACTATGTTAATAAAAGTTCATTTTAATGGTTTCTAATTGTCACCATGGATTTATTAAATTTAAAACCTTTTAAATATTTTCATTGCTTGGTTTATTATATAGGGTTTTAAGCAACAGTGTAGAGACAATTAATTAGAGAAATTTGTCAATCAAATGAGATATTACAAACGCAAAACCACATTTAAGAGTATTCCAATTAGAAGTTAGCTTACATTTTATGGTTTTTTCAAACTACAAACTCTTTGTATTAACAAATTCGTACTCTAAACATTTTCATTTTCATAATTATGTGTCTACCATTAATCAGTACAATGCGTGCGCATTGTAAACCCCTCAGAATGTAGGGGTCATGTAGGACCACGCAGTGGACATTCTACCACTATTTTATGTGTGATTTGATTTTAAAATAATTTAAAGCACCATACTGACGTATGTGTTTTGTTCCAGATGCCAAGGCCTGAAAATCTGTGGTAGGCTACAGCAGTGTGTGCAAGGTTCGTACATGTAACAGGTTCATGTTGTTACACTAATTTAGACTATTCTATAATTCTAATTTACATATAAGTTCTATAGCTAATTTTATGTGTGATTTGATTTTAAAATAATTGAAAGCACCATACTGACGTATGTGTTTTGTTCCAGATACCAAGGCCTGAAAATCTGTGGGGTAGGCACCACACTATCAGTCATTAGGCACCACAGGAGTCATTATTTTGATGTCGTTGTAGTTTGATGTTGAGTATTTTGATTGTTAATGGTTATTTCTGTATTCTGTACATTGTATTCTGTACATGTTATTCTGTACATAATTAAAACAATTAATTATTGGACATGTTCTTTAATTTTTTTCTTTTCTTTAATTGCATTTGTTGTGTACATGTAACAGGTTCATGTTGTTATAATTCTTTTGTAAATAAAAAATAAATAAAAAATAATCTTAGTTGGTCGACTGACTCTCGATATATATATGTATACTAGGTGAAACCCGTCGAAATCGACGGTTACTTTCAAGGCTTACCTTAATTAATCTAACTGTGATAAATTGGGTGACATATACATATTATGAGCATTTAGCATTGTTTATAAAGAGTAATAAGTGTAAAAACAATAATGATATTAATTGCGTTATTTGCCAAATTTGCTTGATCATTCAATGAATAAAATATTTCCTATACTGTACGTCATCGTAGTTATTATTAGTATGTTATAAGGTATCTCTTCCTTTGGAAGAACCTTTAAATAGTATTAAAATCGTATTATTGGTGGATCTTTTGTAGTTAAACACTTCCGTGATTTCATCAGTGTAATATGATTTTATTTGAAATGAAAATATTTTCTGGAAAGTCATATTCTAACTTCAAAGGGAGGTATATTTGTTAAAGTTTGATTTTTCCTTCGTCACGTCGCGTCATTTCATATCGTACTTCTGTGCCAATGAATGAACCCTCTAGCATAGTTTTGAGAAATTGATTGTGGGGTTACGGTAAAAGCTGGAATTCCTTGACATGGGGGATGTCAGTTAGTTGTCTCAGCCTTATCAATATCATAAAGTTGTCAATATAATCTCTCTACGGAATGTTATGTGTAGAGGAATACTTGAAGTGAAGTTGGCTTTTATTCTTGAACTGTTAGGGGCCTCCTAGTTCATATGGTCTTGGCGGCTTCATTGGCAACAAATAATGCAAATGACATAGGTAGCAATGGGACATATCCAAAAAGCAAAAATACTGTAAATTGGCTGTTACGTATATAATGACGTTTACATATTGTTAATCAACGTATCTTATAAAGGACTAGCTGAACCCGGCAGACGTTGTCTTACCTTTGACTATTTATAATCCCGCGGGATTTACCCCGTTTAACTTCTTAATTTTCAAGATGATCTCGTTCGCATGGCTCAATCACGTCCTGGTTGAAGTTCGTTCGCTACGCTCACTCACCTTTAGGTTGGAGCTCGTTCGCTGCGCTCACTTGCCTTCGGGTTAGCTCGTTCGCTACGCTCACTTGCCTTCAGGTTAGCTCGTTCGCTACGCTAACTCGCCTCCAGGTTGAAGTTCGTTCGCTACGCTCACTCACCTTTTGGTTGCAAATTAGCTGTTGTCATAAATGTAAAAGAAATAATAGTGCTGCACCCTGTTGGTAATCCTTGTAACTTTAATGCTATTGAACATCATAGAACAGAACCAACTTGTTTAATTGAAACAGCTGTTAAGATTCACTAATTCCATTTCTCATAAGGTTAACATGGGAAACTCTAGAGCCACTGGGGCGGAGCCGATTGGACGGATCACGAAATTGATGGTGTATAAACCTATTCCATGACATTCTACCCGTATGTACCAAGTTTCGTGGCAATCGGTTCAGCGGTGTCTGAGTTTATCACTGCCAAACAAACAAATATATATATACAAACATCCTCTTTTATATACTTATAGATTATGTGATCTAGTTTGAAAGGAATATGACCGTTCTGTCATGACAGTAGCTGCTAAAATAGTATTTTCTCTTTGTACCATATTTTACAGCCAAAATGTCGTGTTATTTTCAATAATGTTACCAACCCAGTGCACCAAAGTCCGTAATAAAGGCAGGTGCAAATAATTTGTCAAGATGGGAACCATTTTAGGGAAGGTTTTTATGTTTGGATTTTATTAGACACGATAAGAGCAGATATTTCTACATAAATATTTGATATGTGTAGAATAATATGATAAAGTGGAGGCAAAAGTGGTGAAAAAGGCAGACACCAACCCGTACAGTAGATATAAGATAGTTCAATAAGAAATAATTTAAGAATTATTTGCTGTGATAAAAGGACCTTCCACTGTACTTATTTGGTAGTGGAATTCAGTAACCCCAATAAATATATCGTGTTGTTTGAAATACAATTTAAAAATGAACAGCTGTTATTAAAAAGTATTATTCACATGGCCAAAATAAAAACAACTCTGTGGAGGGATCTTTTAAGGCTTCTGGGGCAGAGTCCTAAAGGATTTTGCTCAGTTTTTCTTTTGATAACTCATCTACAAACCAAGACCTTTCTTTGGTCACCTCTACCAAGTTTCTACGCCCAGCCGTTCTCTCAAATTAGTGGGGACAAAGTTTATAATTAAATATTTAGATTCCCCCATGTTAATCTTATGGGAGAAACTCCAACTTTGATGGCCTGTGGGGCAAAGCCCGAGGATTTGTATTACAGGAATTGGTGAAAGGGGGCGTCTACACAAAAAATACTTTATTTTGACACGTCGTTTGTAAAAATCCGTCCATTATTAACGGAGGAGTAGTGTTTTGTAGAAATCGCCTTCACGTATTATATATAAGGATAAAAATATCTTTGCAAAAATGAATTTATATCACGCCGATATGGAATATAAGTATTCCATAAAAGTGTGAAAACACAAAAAGTTGCCCCCTGTTGGAGTATGAATGAATTAAATTAAATTTAATAGAACTTATGAGGACATTAATTACACAGAGCCTGCGCAGTGGAATATATGATCTTGTGAGTGTAGGCCAGTATAATTAAATTACCTCAGAAGTCCGAATAGGGATCGTGAGAGATCTGATAATGGTCTGCCTCCAAACACCTTCTTGATCTTAATATTAACACTTCTTAATAATTAATACCTTTATTTTTTTGCAAATATCCCATATAGGAAATAAGATATTACCGTAGTAGCTCACTCATGGTAAGACCTAGACGCAGGACCGATTTTTTTCTTAGTTTTGAGGTTCCTAGAGGCCAAAAACACCATCCGTTCAAATTCATATATATATAAAGGGTGTTCAAAAAAGGTGGGGACATATTTTACCCAGTGATTCCTTAGGTCAAAATAAAGAGAAAATCAAGAATAACATTTTTCCAAAATCGTAACCAGATACCCGCCATTTTGTATTTTTTACATAAACATTTTTATCTATACTATTATATAAAAATCTAATGGTGTCTGTATGCGTATTACTAATAGGCGCGAAAACTACTGGTCGGATCGGGCTGAAATTCGGCATGATGATAGCTCATATTCCCGATTAACATATAGGCATATTTTTATCCCAAAAATCCTTCCGGGCTCCGCCCCAGTGGCTCTGGAGTTTCCCATGTTAACCTTATGAGAAATGGAATTAATGAATCTTAACAGCTGTTTCAATTAAACAAGTTGGTTCTGTTCTATGATGTTCAATAGCATTAAAGTTACAAGGATTACCAACAGGGTGCAGCACTAGCACTATTATTTCTTTTACATTTATGACAACAGCTAATTTGCAACCAAAAGGTGAGTGAGCGTAGCGAACGAACTTCAACCTGGAGGCGAGTGAGCGTAGCGAACGAGCTAACCCGAAGGCAAGTGAGCGTAGCGAACGAGCTAACCTGAAGGAAAGTGAGCGCAGCGAACGAGCTCCAACCTAAAGGTGAGTGAGCGTAGCGAACAAACTTCAACCAGGACGTGATTGAGCCATGCAAACGAGATCGTCTTGAAAATTAAGAAGTTAAACGGGGCAAAGCCCGCGGGTTACAGCTAGTCTTTTAATATTTTTAACCGATTTTTATGCAACTTGGTATGTATGTTAAGGTAGAAGAGACCCGTGTTAGAAAAAAAAGTTCATCTTGATTTCAAAATAGCAGCCATTTAAAATTTTTATTGTTAAATTACTGGAAAATGGCTGGTTTATGAAAAAATGTCAAGAACACTTTTATTTATCATTTTAAATTATCTTTCAAACGATACCAAGTTCAAAAAGATCGAATAAGAAATAGTTGAAATATTAAGATTTTTTGTTGTAAAATGGGGCAAACCTGACTAGCTTCGGTACTTTCCTGTTAAAGGGAACATTCATTATTATCGATGATTTTTTCTCGATATATCGATATTTTTGTTTACCGATCCATTGCATATTTACAACTGATCTTGTTTAGGCTAAAATAGTCTATTACATGGATTAAGAAATGAAACTGTTCTAAGCTAACCTAACATAACCAACCAAACTTGCTGTACTATTTAAAAATTCCTTTTGATAACAGAAAAGGCAAGTTAAACATGGAATGTTACACAGCAAGTTTGGTTAGTTATGTTAGGTTATTTTTTTTAGAACGGTTTCATTTCATTATTGTTTGTTGATACTGAACAATATTTATCGTAGTTGTCAGCTGATATGTTTCAATTTGTGAATATCGATATATCGAGAAAAAAATCATCGATAATAATGAATGTTCCCTTTAACAGGAAAGTACCCTAGCTTCTGCCTTATTCTACCCCCATTTTACAACTAAAAATCATAATATTTAAGTTATTTCTTAATTGGGATATACATATTGATAAAATTTGGCAAATTTATTTATTTCATCCTGTACTATTGACATATGGTCAAAAAACACTTTTTACCTTCCCCGTTGCAGCAAACCTAAGCACTCGTTAAATGTAATGTTATTTAAATCTATATAAATAAAATTAGAGTTTTGTCTGTACATTGCTCAGAATCATAAAGTTTTAGGTTATTTTTACGTTTTATACAAAGAAGCCGAAACAAGTCTCATCTACATTTCTGTCTGTCTGTCTTTCTGTAACACTCAAGACGACATTTTACGCAATCTTCTCCAGGAAAACGAGAGTACCTCGGTACCTATCACGATCCAATTCATTTTGATGTATTCACTGGATTGGCGAGAGTGTCTTTAGCCATTAAAATATGGCCTCACTACTTTGTAAATAAAATTACGGACGTTCAAATATGCAGTTTTGTGCGATTTTTGTCAAGTTTAGTCCAATTTTTATCACATAATCATCTATGAAATAAC